TACAATTCAATAAGATAACCTACATTTCTTTACTGGACAAAAATGTAAACTGACACTTTACAAAAAAAGATATAGAAATGACCAATAAGACTATGAACAGATGCAAAAAAAAAGGAAAAAAAAGAATACAAACAGATGCTCAACACTATTATTCATATATGATGAATTAAAAACCACAAATTAAGCCAGGTGTGGTGGCTCGTGTCTGTAATCACAGCACTTTGGGAGGCCAAAGCAGGAGGATCACTTGAGGTCAGAAGTTTGAGACCAGCCTGGCCAACATGGTGAAACCCCATCTCTACTAAAAATACAAAAATTAGCCATGGGGGTGCACGCCTGTAATCCTAGCCACTCAGAAGGCTAAGACAGGAGAGTCACTTGAACCTGGGAGGCGGAGGTTGCAGTGAGCTGAGATCAAGCCACTGCACTCCTAGGTGACGGAGGGAGACCCTGTCTCAAAAAAAGAAAAAAAAAAAACCCCACAAAACCACAGTGAAATACCACTACACATCCATTAAATTAGCTAAAATTGAAAAGACTGACTCTCATACATTGCTGGTTGGAATGCAAAATAATACCACTTTGGAAAACAGGTAGTTTCTTAAAAAAACAAATGAAACATACTCCTGCCATATGAATCAACCAACCTATGATGGTAAATGCCACCTTAGATATTTATCTGAAGAAATGAAAGCATTTGTCTACACAAGACTTGCACAAGAATGTTCATAGAAGCCTACTGACACCTAAAACTGAAAATAACTCAAATGCCCATCAAGATAGATGGCTAAACAAATTATGGTATCCATAATGGAATTCTACTCAGCAATAGAAACTATTTTTCATCTCAAAATCATTATTCTGAGTGAAAGAAATCATGAAAAAAATGAGAACATCCTGGGTGACTTCATTTATATAAAATCCTGAAATATGCAAACCACTGTACAGTGGTGCCTGTAGACAGGAATAGAGGAAGAAATGGCAAAGAGACATGAACAAACTTTTGGGAGAGACAAAAATGTTTGTTATCGTGATTGTGGCAATGGTTTCACGGGTACAGACATAGGTCAAAGCTGACCACAGTGTATGCTTTAAATATGTGCAGTCTATTGTACTCTAAGTATACCTCGATACAGGTATTTTAAAAATTTAATGGATTGGCAGGCCTCTAAAGCCAAAACCGATCATCGCAAACAATGCTAGAAAGACTTGATGGGCCAGACGTGGTGGCTCATGCCTGTAATCCTAGCACTTTGAGAGGCTGAGGTGTGCAGACTGCCTGAGCTCAGGTTAAGATCAGCCTGGGCAACATGGTGAAACCCTGTCTCTACTATAAAATACAGTGACTTAGCCAGGAGTGGCGGTGTGCACCTGTAATCCCAGCTACTCCGGAGGCTGAGGAAGGAGAATTGCTTAAATGTGGGAGACAGAGGTTGCGGTGAACCGAGATCATGCCACTGCACTCCAGCCTGGATGACAGAATGAGCCTCCATCTCCAAAAACAAAACAAAACAAAACAAAAACCAAAAAAGACTTAATGGTACCAGCAAGCCATTAAGAACCAAGCCCCAGGGAATGACTCTCAGGAAACTCTCCATGTAGGAATTTCTTACTATCAGTGTAGGACTCAGAAATACAGTACACGTCTACCCTCTTATGAATAAGCATAAGCATACTGAAAAGGCAATAGTTCATAAGACCAGCATAATTAACATGTTGGAGGTTAAGTCAAGGTGGTTAGGGATCCTTCCTTCCAGGTCTCATGTTTTATTTTTAAAGGACTCAACAAAAATAATTCTCAAGTATTTTACACTATCTACCTATCAACCCCAGGATATTTGATTATTTATTAAAAACCAGATTAAGCTCAAACTTTCCTTCCATATACAGAACAGGAAAAAGCTTTATTGTGACAAAATATCATAATTGTAATTATTTTATAATTTGTTGTCACCAGTGCAGCAACTCTCAGCTTCTGATCACAAACAAAATGTTTAGCCTATTTTCAACTCCTTTCTGATGTACCAAAAAATTTTAAAAGCCCCTAGCTCATTCTTCTATGTGCAAATATTTAGGTTTCATTAGAAAAGTACTTTAGTTCATCTTGGTATCCTTTGTAAACGTATTTAATTTTACTCAATCTTTAAAAGCTGGTGTTCACCATGATTTCCTTCTCTACTCTTTTCTGGTCTCATTTCTTGCCACTAACTCTCAAATGTCACAATCTCATAGGAAGCTAATTTAAAGTAAGGATTTTCACACCCTAACCCCAGTGATTCCAAATCTGGTTAATTGATGGGGGCCTAACAATCTTATTTTTTAACAATTATCTCTAGGTGACCAAGGTACATACTGAGAAACACTGCTCTAACCACTTTCCCTAGAATAGCACATGAATACTCAGCTTGTGGAGGAAAACATCATGTTTCCAATTATTTTTTAAAGCTGATGATTCCCAATTCTGTATTTCAGACCAGCTCTTCATCTGAGGTCCAAACCTATTTTTGTTCCAAATGTTGCTCCTCATTCAGGAATTCCTAGTTCCCTGAAATTACTCCAAAATTCACCTGATTGCCAAAGCCAGAAACCAATAGACATCCTATCTTCCTTCTCTTACTTCTCATCACAACCTGTACATTCTCTATACATTGTTCCCTGTGTATTTCCTATATATCGTTCCCACCATAGGCTGCACATGTTCTTCATTCGTCTCTGAGGTTATCATAATAATCTCTGAACCAGTTTCCCAGTACCATTCCAAATCCATCCTTCATAATGTTGCCAGGGTGGCCTTTCTAGGACCAGCATCTGGCTATTTCATTCCCTCATCCCTTCCAGAATAAAATCCAAACACTTTAGCATGCCATCATAAAAGGTCCTTCATGGTCTAGCCCCTACTAACCTCTCTAAACACTCTCCCTGCAATCAATCCCTCATCCTCCATCCCAGTCATACAGAACTACTTGCTATCCATTAACTTCTTCCACACATTCACAGACTGTTCTCTCTTCTGAAAAACTTTTCTCCTTCTTGCTAACTGCATGACTCCTCAACTTTCAAGTCTATCCTTAGGAGTGACCTGCTCTGATAATCCTTCCCTTCCAAACTATCACTCCCCTTCCCCAAAGGCTACATTAAATTCCCATTTAAAAATACTTACAATTATTGCAATGAACTGTGTTGATCTACTTGCCTATCTCCCCTTCTAGACTGCTAGTTGTTTTTCATGCCTGTATACCTAACCTACTACAGAACTGGCACACACAGCAGACATTTCATAAATGTCACCTGAATGAATCCATTTAATGTCTAGTTAACAAGAATGTTTTCTTTTGTGTTAACCATGGAAAAACTAGGTACCTTCAGTGTTCTAAATAATAAACCAGTCTTACAACCAAGTAGTTTAAAAATACAAGGATTTCTTCCAGCCATTTTAATCATCCATCCCAAGTTAATCAATGTATTTATGAGCACGAATGTGATGTCTGGAGAAGTACAGGATTACCACTAAGTCATTGGTTCCATTTTTGTTATAACTTGTACTCTTTTTTTGCAGGCTAGGTTTCTCTACCACACACTAGGCTTATACGTACACTGTCCAATCCAATAGTCACTAGCTACAGGTGGCTATTTAGTTAAAATAACATAAAATTTAAAATTCAATTTCTCAGTTACACTAGCCACATTTCTAGCGCTCAAACGCCATAAGGGTCTAGTGGCTATGATACTAGACAGTGCAGAGACAGAACATTTTTGTCACAAGTTCTACTGGGTAGCGCTGGACACACAATCACGAAAGAACCTTAGAAAAACCTCTTACTTAGCAAATAAAATTTAAAATTCAGTCCCTCAGTTGCACTAGCCACATTTCAACAGCTCAAAATCCACACAGGGCTAGTGGCTATGATACTGGACAATGCAGATACAGAACATTTTCATCACAGGAAGAAGTTCTACTGGACAGTGCTGGCGACACAATCATAAAAGGACCTGAGAAAACCTCACTTACTTCTTAGCTCCCACGATCCTCGTGCTCCTCTGCTGTTTAAAGGTTGTGGGTCCCGAAGTCTAGCAAATCACAAGCACACGAGTGAGTGCTAGGGACCTCTGAACCTCGACCACAAAAAGACGAATTCCCCTATGCCCAGAAGAAATGAAGCTCTCCCGGGGCAACAACCTCAAACTGAAGAAGGCAACACTCTTTAGGAAAAATGTGCTGTCCTATCTTCCAGCTGTGCAAAGGCGGGTAACAATACCAGAGCCTTCGTCTTCCCCATTCTCAAAGCCCTGTCCCAGGCTCTAAAAGGGAGGCCAAAAGAAAAGACAACGGATATGAGACATTGGGGATGTAAAGGAATAGAAACTAACGGCAATGTGGCGAGGAATTAAACCCAAGGAGGTGGGGAACAGGCAGCAGAACGTGTAAAGAAAAAGGGGACAGGTGATCTGATCTAGAAGGGTGGGGCCTACGATGGCCTCTGATAAAACCAACTCTGAGCATGGGACAAAAGCGAGAGACCGCGTGTTCTGGGCTCGACAGCGCTACCTCTAAAGCATGACGGTCAAACCAAGAAACTCACGGGTACAGCACCGAGTCTGGAAGACATCACTCCCTCTCCACGCCTAACAATTTCACCAAAGGACGCCGGCCAGACCAACGCCACTTCCGCTCTCCTCGCCTCTCCCGGATGTGGGCTCGGCCCCGCCTAGCCCTCTTCTGAACGTCTACTTCCGCCTAGCAGCTTCCGAGGGGGCTGCGGCCGGAGCGAGTCACATGACGAGTAACCCTCTGATTCCTCTGAGACCCCGCCCCACTGGGACCGCGACGAGGGACCTGGGAACCTGTGGGTGGGGTCTGCAATGAAGGGGCGGAGCTTGGATCCTGTGCCCGGCCTTAAAACCCCTGCTCTCATTCCGAACCTTTGCACAACTCCTCGTGTCCCACCACCCTGCCTTCCCCACCCACCCAACCAGTGGCCTCAGTCTAGATGCACAGGGAGATCAGTTACTGCCGCTTTATTAGAGAAATTACAGATGAATCTCACAGGCCACCCCCAGTAGAGAGACATGGAAGCCTTTCCACGCTGGGGGCGCAGGAACTGGAGGCAATGGCTGAGCAGGAAAAAAGGCTGGAAAGGCCAGCACTGTGAAGACTTGAGGGAGACAATGAATAATAGGGGTGGATCTCGCCTCTTTGAGTAGCTTCAGGTCTCCACACTTGCCCTGCTTTGGGATTTTTGTGTGTGGTCTTGAGGAGACTTGTTCCATTCTTGAAAGGGCTGGGCTGCTTCCCAGGGGAGCTGTGCTTGAGTCTCTCCTTAAGGGTACTGCGATGGCTTCTCCCAGAGGGCCTCCCTGGCCTCATCTCAGAGGGACTGTGATGGACTCTCTCCCAGGAACTGCGATGGCTCCTCCCATGGGACCTCCCTGGCCTCATCCCTGAGGTACTGTGACGGGCTCTCTCACAGGAACTACAGTGGCTCCTCTCAGAGGAACTGTGACATGTTTTCTCAGAGGGACTGTAACGGCTTCTTTCCAAGGGACTGAGGTGCCTCTTCTCTAAGGAACTGTGGCTTCTCTGAGAAATCCTACGGTGGCTCCTCTCAGAGGACCTGTGACATCTCCTCTCAGAGGGACTGCGTTGGCTCCTCTCAGAGAGACGGTGATGGGTTCTCTCAGAGGGACTATGATGGCTCCTCCGAGAGGGACTGGGATGGCTTCTCTCAGAGGAACTCTGATGGCTCCTCTCAGAGGGACTGTGATGGCCCCTTTTAGAGAGACTGTGACAACTCTCCAGGGGACTATGATGATTTCTCCGAGAGGGACTGCTAAATCTTCCATCTGAGGGACTGTGACGGCTCCTCTCAGAGGAATTGTGATGATTTATCTGAGAGGGACTGCGATGGCTCCTTTCAGAGGGACTGTGATGGCCTCTTTCCCGGGGACTGAGATGATTTCTCCGAGAGGGACTGCGAAATCTTCTATCTGAAGGACTGTGACGGCTCCTCTCTGAGGGACTGTGGTGGCTCCTCTCAGAGGAACTGCGATGGCCTCTTTCAGAGAGACTGTGACGGCTCCTTTCCAGGGGACTGCAGTGATTTCTCCGAGAGGGACTGCGATGGCTCCTCTCAGAGGGACTGTGATGGCTTCTCCAAGAGCGGTTATGACGCGTCCTCTCAGAAGGACTGCGTGGGGTTCTCTCCCTATAGAAGCTGGGGTGGTTTTGTTCCCCGTGCATGAGTTTCTTTTTAAGGTGTCGGTGCCAGGTTCTCTTCACAGGGGAACCAGGTAGGTTTCTTCCTTGGGCGTGAACTCTGGTTCCTGGTGTCAGCAAGTTCTTAGACTCCTGGCTGGAGATTTCATTTTTCTTTGATCTGCTACTACCGTCCTTTTGGACAGTTCCCAGAGGCTGCTCCACTGAGGCAGCTTGGAAAGTGATATCACTTTGGGAACCTGTAGGCTTGGGCAGTCGAAGAGGTCTGGGTTGGAAACAGTGAGCTCTTCTTGGCTGTTGAGCTGAACTGCACTGGTCTGTCCCTTCCCACAATATGTCCTCCTGCTTAATGGTTGAGCCTGCTGACCTTAGCTTGTCAGCTGACCTCCTGTCTCTTTTGATATTGCTGGGTAAGCAGTAGTCCCTGGCATTTTGCTTTGGATAATAGTTTTTGCTTGCCCACAAATTGTCTGGGATTGTCCTGTCCCCAGACTTCTGCCCAAGAAAAGCTAAAACTCTGTATGCTGTTTGGAATGCCCGCTTTAGGCCCTGAAAAAGCAGTTGCATGAACTT